GACTTCTTTAGGGTGAGTCACTACTATAACATTAGGCTGAATTTTGACTTCTTTAGGGTGAGTCACTACTATAACATTAGGCTGAATTTTGACCAACTTATTTGAAATCTCATGCAAACCTGTTAGTTACTCGAAACTTTAAATATGTCTACTTCTTTACATAGTTACACATGCGATAAACTCTGTAAGTTGGCAGAGATGGTTTTGGGGGAAAGGAGTTTTCTCCTGAAATGCCTTTTCCGTATGAAAGAAGATGCTTTTCGCGTACTCTTTTCTGTGGTGGTTGAGCACAAAGAAGGACGTGAGAGGAGAAAGCGACTGCCGTCCAGTTAGACCGCAACAACTCACTCAAAGGCAGCTGCTGTGTGTGCTCACTTTCTTTACTCGTTTCCTTTTTATTTCTAGGGATCTTATAATCATATTTCATATAGATTTAATCATGTGTAATGCTTCCTCTTTTTTTAAGTGGAAAATTAATGATATTTAAATTTCTCTTAATCCTGGCACAATGCTGTCTCAGACCTTTTTAAGAAATTGAACCTCCATCCCAGCAGAGAAGAGGGCTTGATAGTTTGGGTACTGCCCAGAGCCTAACCTTGGGCTGTTCACAAATCTCAGAGAGAGGAATGTTTCCCGAGTGAGGGCAGAAAGACAGCAACAAACGCTGAGAAACATCACACAGTCACACGGCAGGAGTGAAAACCCACCGTGGGGAAGTAGGAGATGAGAGTGCCCATCTCAGCACTACCTCCGTCCAGTCTTGTGAACTTAAACAAATCAGTTATTTTTTTTGGTCAAAGTTCTGTGCAGTTGTAGAGTCCATGAACTGTTAGAAAACTGCAAGGTAATTTCTTAGAAAGATCAGTTAGTTAGGTCTTGCGTTTTACAAATACCATCTAAGGTAAAGCTGCTACCATTTTAATATATAAATTGGGCTTATTTGATGATCAACATTTTTTCAACCTTTTTTTGATGTCAGGATTTAGAAAAGACATTGAAGGTACTGTTACATTTTTCTTGTAGGATGAAACTGTAACAGTAGAGACGGTGTTTCCATTTGATGTTGCAGTTAAATTTGTCTCTTCAAAGGTATGTTCCTGAAAAGCATATTGGAAATCATTTAGGTTATGGAAATTGACATAAAGAAATGAGGTAGACTCACGGTAATTCCTGACAGACTCTTTCTCTTCATTCGTGACAGTTTGAGCACCTAGAAAGGGTCTATGCTGACATCCCCTTTCTGTTGATGACGGATGTTTTAAGTGCCTCTCCATGGGCCCTCACCATTGTATCCAGTGAGCTCCAGCTTGCTCCGGCTATGACCCCTGTGGATCAGCTAGAGTCCCAGGTGGACAAAGGTGAGTATTGGGGTATTCTCAGAAAGAGGGGTGTGTGCTTACCTGTAAAAGTTAGTAATGTAAGCAAGAGTTCAGTTCTTGCTAAATTAGAAAACTTAATACTTATTCTCACAAATACAAATACGTTTAGACTGTATCTGCCCCCAAAATAGTTCCAATAGAAGTTGATAAATAATCAGCAGATATTTATTAAGTGCTTTACTATCAGGCATTATGCTAGGCTCCCGAGAAAGCACCACAGACAGTACACAGCCTCTGTGCTTCCCTGCTGTGCTTTGTAGGGAACTACACCGTGAAACCAAAACCCACGGCCATCAAGCTGATGCTGACTCGTAGCGACCCTGTAGGACAAGTAGAACTGGCCCTGTGAGTTTGGGAGACAGGAGTAGAAAGCCCCATCTTTCTCCCTTGGAGTGGCTGATGGTTTCAAACTGCTGACCTTGGAGTTAGTAGCCCAGTGCGTAACCCCCACACTATCAGGGTTTTGTTTTCCCTTGGAATGGTAGTATAATTCTGTTTTTGTCTAACATGTTGCTATCAGATCTCTAAGATCAGTAGATTGAAATGAAGCATGCTTTAACCTCTCTGGTGGCTCTTTTTGTTAGTTGATATCAGGTCAACTCTGGCTTTCGACGACCTCACTGTTGCAGAGAACCGGTCTGTAGGGTTGTCATATCTGTTTGGCCCTTTGGAAGCAAATTGCCAACCCTTTTTCCTAAGGCATATCTAACTAGTCCACCCACTTTTGGACTAGTCGTCAAGTGCTAATTGTTTACATTCCTCTTGAATATTTAAATGCTAGAAATGTTTCAGATCTTATATATAGTAATAATAAGCATTTTATACTTTTACATTGCCTTCATCTTCTCTCCCATTTCTGGACATCATTGTCTCTGCCCTCTACTTCCTTGTATTTTCATGGGCTAATTTTGAATGATCATGAGATTGTGAGCCAGGCTGGACTGGGATTTAATTCTCAGGCCTCCCTCCCCCCGCCCCCCACCCCGCCTGGTTACTTGTTATTTAGAGTTCACATAAACCTCGATTTCTTGATCCTGCCAAGCAGGATGACGTATGCTTCCTTCTCTGTTTTTCATGGTGTTTGGTACTGACCTTTCTTTAGTAAACATTTATCCCATCCTACTGTAATGATTTATATAGATGATCTTGCTTCCCTACAAGACTATATCCATCTTAAAGCCCAAGCAGGCTCACTTGTGTTTGCATTGCCAGCATCAGGTGACTTTCATTGTTGTTAGCTACCATGTAGTCATCCTGACTAAGGGTCACCCCGTTTTGCTATAGAGTAGCGCTGTTTCATAGGATTTTCTTGACTGCTGTCTTAATAGAAGCAGATTGCTAGGCCATCCTTTTCCTGATTTCACTAGGTAGTACGGTGCTGACGAAGAGGGGGGGTTGGGGTTAGATGAGTAGTTGCCTTGTCATCAGGGAATTTACTGTAAAACAGGCGAGAGGACAGCGTCCTTGCAGAGGAAGCCACACTGGCAATAATGAGGCCATGTAAGCTAGAGTTCTAGTTGAGTATCATTCATACGTATTTGGAAAAGGCCACCCGAGATCTTAAGGAATACCTTGTTTTCTATCCTGAAGTGTTTCCAGTTAGAGAAAGACAAATATTAAGCCTATGGTGTTGTTTTGTCGTCTGACTTCTCCCTGTCATTTTCAGTAGAAATTTGCCGCAGACATACAGAAAGAAGCCTTACCTGGTTTTTGTTTTGTTTTTTATTTTTAAAAATAACAGAATATTGATATATTAGGGGAAAAAAACTGGGCAGAGGACTCAGAGTAGCTAGTGTGATTTCTCATCTCAAACACATACTAGTATTGTGACCCTGATCTCTCTGAGCTTTAGTTTCTAAGTCTGTAGAAATGATACGTAGATGATAAAGGCATTATTCCTCTTTTGTTATATTGCGTGGATGTGAAACTCTCTCGGGGACAGGACTGCTGCATCAGGACAATGAGCGCTTTCTCTTGTAGTTGTCTTACAGACTGGAGAGAGTGCTAGTGAATGCTTTTGTCTTCGGTGCCCATCTGAAGGAAATGTTGAAGGTGGAGTTGCAACGGGGCATTACGTTATCTCCTGGAAAAGGTAAACCTGCTGATCAACCCTGCCTTTTCTCGACTGTCTTTGCCCTTCGAATGAAATTTCAATAACAAATTTGTACTTTAGTGGAGACATAATGTTCATATTTTCAGTCAGTAGGATTTGCTATTTAGAAAACTCAAAGAAATCAATAAATTACTAGAGTTAATAAGAGTTCAGCCAGGTTACTGGATCTAGCATCAATATATAAAAATCAATTGCATTTCTACAAAGGGAGCTTTAAACAGATAGGAGCTGAAAATACAGGGAATCCAGGACGGATGAGCCCTATAGGACCAGTGGTGTGAGTAGCAAAACAGGAAGGGTAAAGGGAGAATGGGTAGGAAAGAGGGAACCGATTACATGGAACTGTGTGTGACCTCCTCCCTGGGGGACAGACAACCGAAAAGTGGATGAAGGGAGACGTCGGACAGGGCAAGATATGACAAAATACCCATTTATAAACTATCAAGGGCTCATGCGGGAGGGGGCAGCGGGGAGGGAGGGGAAAAATGAGGACCTAATGTCGGGGGTTTAAATGGAGAGAAAATGTTTTGAGAAACGATGTACAAATGCGCTTTACACAATTGATGTGTGTATGGATTGGGATAACAGTTGTATGAGCCTCTAATAAAATGTTAAAAAAAGAAAGTAAAAAAAACACAAAACACTGAAAATGGAAAAAAAAAATTCATGGAAAAATTGTAATATCTTAATTCAGTTTTCTCATAAGCTTCTTGAAGCCCCTCATATCAGTAATAAACCTCTGGACACTTTACTTTTAATATAGATGTCAAAAAATAAGATGTCTAGGAATATATAGAAGAAGAGTACACTAAATTTATGGAAAAGTTATAACATTTCAGACTATTAAAGAAAGACCTAAATAAGTGGGGGGAGAGATGCAAATTGATTAATAGAACTCAGTACAATTTCCTTAAAAATTGCAACAGTTTTTGCTCTTGTTTTTTAAATCCTTTTTTTATTTTCTGGAACTTGGTACTCTAATTCTAAAATTTATGTGGAAAAGCAAAAAGAAATGGCCAGGGCCCTCCAAAAGTAGAGGAAATTGTTCTTCTAGATTCAAAGACTGATTATAGAGCTGTGGTGGTCAAACACGGTGGAATCAGCATGGAGATAGGTCAGTAAGCCAGTGGAACAGAAGAGAGTCCAGAAAACTATTCATCGATCTACACAGTGTGGAAGCAGTCTTTTACAGAGGTAGCATGGCAGATCGGTGAGAACAGGATGAACTCTTTATACTTGATGCTGAGCAATTTGCTATCCACTTGAAAAAAACAAATTTACCTCTACTACGTATGCAGTACATGAAGATGAATTCCCCATGTGTTAAGACTAAAGACATGCCAAGAGTTAACTGTTCAAAAGTGAAATTGTTACTTTTAGTAGAAAATAGGAGAGAATTACTTTGAGTCTGGGATAGGACAAATTTTATTAAGCAAACAAACTAGCCACTTCTTGTTGTTAAGTGCCATCAAATTAGCTCTGACTCAGCGTTAATCACATGTGTAGTAGAATGAAACGTCATTGCCCAGCCCTCTGTCCTCATAATTGCTGCCATGTTTCAGCCACTGTTATAAATCCAACCAGCCAGTAAATTGTTGAATTCAATTTCTTAAAATTAAATTTTAAGTTAATTCAACACCATAAAACTGGTATAAAACCCATACATAACAAACTGGGAAAAGATTTGTAATACGAATGACTAACACAGGATTAGTATTTATTGATATCAAAAATTTATGCAATTGTAGTCAGACAAGTTACCCAACAGAAAATTGAGCAAAATATTTGTTAGGGAGCTTAAATTAGTGGAGGAAGCCGGATGGCCAGTAAACACATGGAGAGACGCTCAATCGGACTGGTCATCGGGATGACAAAATAAAACTGACATCTAAATGTATTTCGTTGGTTTGGGGAAATAGGAAAGTTTAAAAATACCAATGTGAGAACAATTGGTTTGGAATTCTATTCAGAAGTACCAGCTGAAGTTGAAGATATCTGTGTCTAGAAAAAAACCACAGATAGATACACAAAGGGAATATGTCTAAGAATTTCTATAACCACAATAGCTGTAATATTAAAATTTGACAGTAAATACCCACTAACACAGTGGTTCTCAACCTTCCTAATGCCACGACCCTTTAATACAGTTCCTCATGTTGTGACCCCCCATCCATAAAATTATTTTCGTTCCTACTTCATAACTGTAATTTTGCTACTGTTATGAATCGTCATGTACATATCTGATATGCAGGATATATTTTCATGGTTACAAATTGAACATAATGAAAGCACAGTGATTCATCACAAAACAATATGTAATTTTATATTGTGAATATTCTAATGACAAATAAATGAAATGTGGTCTTGAAGCATGGTGTAGCATGGGCAACAGTCTTCATGCCGGGTACTTTTAGATGGGCGTATCTGCACGTGGGCGGACCTGCCTGGAGACGGATAGAGGAGCGGTGTCTCTCAGTTCCTAAGATCATCGGAAATATGTGTTTTCCAATGGTCTTAGGCAACCCCTGTGAAAGGATCGTTCGACCCCCAAAGGGGTCACGACCCACAGGTTGAGAACCGCTGTACAACAGGATAAATGGTGGCATAATCAAACAATGGAGTACTATAAGGGTGCTTCAGAAAGTGGAATTAAAAGATAATGGAATTTTTCCACAAACTTTTTGAAGCCCACTGTGTATGACGATGACAATGAGTGCACCAGAGTTACACCTATCAGCATATCAATATCAGATGAACCAAAAAAGCTGCCGATGAGAATGTGAACAGATTGTATGTGTGTAAAATACACCTCATGTTGCTGAGGGCTGCATTCCTAATTCAGAAAAGATAGCCTAAGTACCTGGGAACGAGCGATAGGAACTCCAGATCATAACTGTGGAAGAGAGGGAGTGATGGACGCAGGAAGGGCCCGTGGAGATGCAGTTTTCTCTCTCGGCTGGGAGGTAGACACATACTTGATGTGTCATTTTCTTTGTGTGCCATTTCATAATTTTAAAATGAAGTATAATTTTAAAAGATGAGAGCAAAAATAATTAAGAAAAACAATGTATAGAATTGATTCTGACAGGCTCTAAACTGTTGTAGGATCAGACAGCCTCATTTTTCTCCCACAGAGCAGGTGGTGGGCTTGAACCACCAACCTTTTAGTTAGCAGTCCAAAACTTACCTGACTAGCTTCAATTATCTTTCTTTTCCCCTATTTCTGGATTTATCAACTGTATGTAGTTCTGTATTTACATTGAGTATGCATGTTTACAAAAACATTAACACTGAACTTTGAAGACACTGCTTAATTAGTCCGTCAGGCTACCTTCTTATTCTTCAGGTATGTTTATCTATTAATGTCAAAAGCTTAGAGATCTTCCTCTGTTGCTTTTGCTTTGTAAGCGTGTGTGATGATTCAACCGTTCCACCACTGATGCAGGGCCAACCACCCTTGACTATAATAAAGAGGGAATTCTTGACAGTTTCCATCCTAACTGTAATAAAGGGAATTCTTGACAGTTTCTTACGGTTACTCAGTTGATCTCTGTAACCATTGGGACACCACTGTGTTTGTTCACAGTGAAATCTTTTCAGTTCTTCGGTTTGTGCTGCGTATGTGGAGTTGAAGCAGTACTCTTCAAAGGCTGCAGAGTTGTGCTTGTCTGTGAACCGTCCTCAGTGAGATCAGTGGGCATCAGACTGCATCACCACAGTGTTTTATGTTGTAGTTGGTTTTTAGCTCAGCACAGCTGCTTAACCTATCCACCATTCCCTGGTAACAAAGAACACTGACTTTCAGTATTTGCATTTGAGAAATTCAAGGGCAATTCAAAACGTTTGGCTAGAAAATGAGAGAAACCTTGATTAAACAGTATCAAAATCAAAACAGTATCAAAACTATTGTCACCCAACATATCCTCCATTTAGGTCTGTATACTTCTGAAGGCAGTATTTGTAGTTCTTCCAACCCCAGTGGCATATTGGACATGTGTTGGGCTGCTAACCGCAAGGTCAGCAGTTCCACACTACCGGCCGGCTGCTCCACGGGAGAAAGATGAGACCTTAACCCCAAACAGAACGGTGGTCTCTGAAACTGGAGGGGCAGTTCTACTCTGTCCTCTATGCGCTCTCCGAGTTGACATCAACTCAGGGCAGGGTGTCTTGGTTTCACCCTTCCCCAAAGAATGCCCTGCTCTTAATGTACACCTTGTCAGCTGTGGCAGTTTAGGCACCTTGGGGGATTCAGGTCATGTTCTGCATAAATGCTGTACATTTGTGGGGAGAAAAGTCTGCTTGGTCGTGATTTATTGTTTTTACATGCAATATGAGCTTGAAAAGTGACCTTCACTCCATAGGACTTCAGCCCTAGAAACCGTCCCTGTCATCAGTACCACCATCACTCTACCACACGTGATTGTAGAGAACATCCCTCTCCACGTGAATGCAGGTAATGGGAATTCCGATTTTACTTCATAAGAAGAATCTAATAATACTTTTTAAAAATGTACAACATTTGATTTTTCAATGTTTCAGTAGAATTGTCCAACATTCATAAAAGTATACTGTGGTCCGTTTTGTTTCATTTATACCAAACACACTTCTCCTATCCCATTATTTTGGAGCAAATCCTAGATATCATTCTTTAAAATTTCAGTAGGTGTCTTTGAAAAATAATTACTCTTTCTAAACACCCTAATGATGTAAAAAAATTAGCAATAATTTCTTAATAGAAACTCATTCCAGGGTTCAAATTTTTCCAATTGGAATAATTTTTGCAGTTGCTTGAATTAGAATGTAAATAAGGTCTATATATTGCAGATAATGGCTACATCCCGTACACTTTGTTATCCTAAAGGCAAAGAGACCCCCTGCCAATCTTCTTTTGTTCCTTCCTTCCCCTTTTGTGTTTTCTACCCAATTTTCTCTCTCCTTTCCCTTCACCCCTCTCCATTCCAGCCCTAACTACACTTCTCCTTGCTGTGTATTTGTTGAAGAAACCAAGTCATATTTTTTGTAGAGCTTCCAACAGCCTAAATTTTGCTGACAGTATAGTGTATTTTAAATGCTTTTCTAACCTTATAAATTGGCTGGTAGATCAGATTCAGGTTCAAATTTTGGGCTAGAATAATTCTTGGTTGATGGTTTGTACTCCTTCCTGATGAAGTCTAACTATTATGTTCTCTTTATTTGTTAAAACACTTTTATCAAGAGAAACTTCCCTTTATCAACTGTTTGGGTACCCAGGAGTCTATGATAATTTAGGGGGAGAAACACATGTATATGTTTGTGTTTGTGTGTGTGTTTCACTTACAGTTTCACCAAAGCTTGTGCTTTTGTTTAGTTTTGGAAACTGATTAATACTTAGAGAAATCTTTGGTAGATTTTTACAAAGTGCTATGATGTATGTAGAACCCCAGAGAGCCTGCAAGAAAACTTCTAGAGGTAATAGAGGCATTTAACAGAGGTAAAAATAACAGGGTCAACAAACAAAAATCAGTTGGGTTTCTGTCTACTAGCAATGAGAAATCTGAAAGGAAACGAGATTCTGTTCATAACAACATCTAAGAAAAGAAAATACCTAGTAATAAATCTGGCCTTGAACATGAACATGAACAATGTGCGTAATGAAAGTTATAAAACACTGCTGAAAGAGTGAGATAAATGACAAGATGTTCTGTATTCTTGGGTTAAAAGACTTAATCTTATTATGATGTCAGTATTACCCAAAGTGATCTGAGTTTGAACTCAATGTTGATCAAAATTCCAACAACCTTCTTTACAAATGGAAAAACTAGCCCTTGGGAGTTTCAAATAACTAAAATAACACTGAAGGACAAGAACAAAGTAGGAGGGTTCCCACTTCCTGACTTTAAAAACGTGTTTCACAGCTCCAGTAATCAAACTAGCCTGGCATTGCTAACAAAGACTAGACTTGAGAGTCTAGAAATAAACCCACATATCGTCAACTGAAGTTCATTGATGAGGGAGAGAAGACCCTCTTCAGTGGATGGTCTTGGAGAATGGATTCTTACTTTACACCATACACAGAAACAAAAATGGATTACAGACCTAAATATATACATTTAAACCATCAAATTATTGGAATAAAGTGCTAGGGAAACATTGTTGGACCTTGCCTTTAGCACTGAATTATGTAGTAAAACCAAATGGAAGCTCATAAAAATGAAAAACTGTATTCACCAAAAGACTAACAAAAAATGAAAAGACAGTGTACTGACTGGAGAATATTTTCAGGTGTCACATAAAAAGACTCAAAATACCCATAGAACTCTGATAGCTTAATAATAAGAGGACAAATAATATAAGCACAAGTGGTCGAATGGCTTAAATAGCCTTCTCACCTATAAGGACATTCAGGTGTGCAGCAAACAAGAAGAGATGCTCAGCCCAGTTTGCTGTCCGAGATGCAAGCTACAACCAATGTGAGATACCATTTGCCCCCCACTGGGATGGCCTTGATAGAACAGAAAACTGAAAGTAGCAAATGTTGATGAGGCTGTCTGGAAATTGAAACCCGGATCCATTGTTGGTAGGAATGTAATGGTCTAGGCAATGCAAAATTTTAGAAAATAGTGTGTGGTTTTCTAAAACGAAAATTAGAACTACCATCTGACGCAGCAGTTTCACACCCAGAGGACTTGAAAGCAAAGACTCAGAACGAGACTTGTACACCATTGTTAATTGCAGCACTGTGCACAATGCCAAAAGGTGGAAACAACCCACCAGTACCCAGCAGGAAAAATACCCACCAGTAGATGAATGGATAAACAGAAAAATGGGACAGTCCTGGTGGCATAGTGCTTACAAGTTCGGCTGCTAACTGCAAAGTCAGCAGTTCAAAACCAACAGCTGCTCCATGGGAGGGGGAGGAGGCTTTCTGATCCTGTAAAGAGTTACAGCCTCTGAAACCCACAGGGACAGTTCGATCCTGTCCCGTAGGGTCACCATGAGTCGAACTCCACTTGATGACACTGAGTGTGAGCTTTATGAGGGGCAGAGCAAAGTGAACAATACTGGCAAAGGAACACTTACATTGATTAAGGCTGAAGTACCACAGCCAACTATTGTAATTGCTTTCAGGAAGGTGTACACCTGGAAAAAGTTGAACTAGAAAAAGTTATGTGAGAGAGAAGCTTATATTTGTAACAATGACCCAGATAAAAAACAAACAAAAAGCTGCTAAGACTAGTTATGCCCAACCACGAAACTCATTGGAATTGATTCCTAGATAGGACACTTTAGGGTGATAAGTGTCAGGGGACATCCCAGTTACCTGGCCTGATAATGTTTCTGGTGCTTCTATTTTAGATGCTAGTTCTTTATGCAGTGCTTAGGGGGTCTGAAAACCCTTTCAGCAGCCATCCAAAGAAAGGCAAATGGTTTCTATTTCCTAGAGCAACAGAGGAGGAAGGGAACTCGGAGGGGGTTGTGGAACTGGCTCCATGAACAAGGGCCTCCTTTGCCCTGAGACCAGAAGACCTGGATGATGCCAGGCTGCCAGGACTGAACAGAATTTCAGATTTTCCTGGACTGCAGACTTTTTGGAGCTGTGAGGGCTGGCTGAACCCCTGACACTATGGCCCTGTGATAATCTTAAACCTTAAACCAAAATTATACACTGAAATATTCTTAAAACCAAACAATAGATTTAACTAGAAGAGTGTCCTAAGCATTTTAGTCTTTTAAGAACTATCTACACAGGTGATCAAAGAGACACAGTAATTCCAAAGATTAGTTAGGTAGGAACTTTGGGGACAGTGAGTTTATAGTATTGGGCTAGGAACAGCTCAAAAAAGGACAGAGTGGTTATACAATTAATTCAGTGGTTAAATTGATGTACGTTAAATTGGTGTATGTGTGAGTGCTTACTTTGGTGTATGCTTTGCTGCATATATTCTCAGTAGAAGCAACAAAATAAAGTAGTACTAAAAAATTCAACTTTTAATAGCTAAGACCTTTTGAAGGCAATCAGTTTCATAAGGAGACTGATTTTCTTAGCTCACTCTGTCATGGGCACATGGAAATTGTCCAATGTATTTTTTTTATTTGACAAGAATGGAATAATTTTATGTATTTAAGTAATCTCACTTTTCTAGAATAAGGTACATTTTCAAAATAATTCACTTAAGTAAGAAAAATGTGTGATCTTCCTGTGCAGATCTGCCTTCATTTGGACGTGTCAGAGAGTCCCTGCCTGTCAAGTACCACCTACAGAATAAGACGAACTTAGTGCAAGACGTGGACATTTCTGTGGAGCCTAGTGATGCCTTCATGTTCTCCGGTCTTAAACAGGTACATGGGATTGCTCACGAAGACACGAAAGTGTGGCCAGGAAGTAGAGTTGGTCATTTATAGTTTAGAAAACAACTGGGGAAGGCTGAGTGTGGTCCCTGTTATTTTGATCGTAGTGAACCTTTGTGTGGGGGTGTCAGGTACCCTCACGTCCGCTCTGACTCATAGGGACCCCATGTGTAACAGAACTAAACCCTGCCCAGTCCTGGGTCATCCTCACAATGGTTGGTATTGTCGCAGCCACCGTGTCACTCCCATCTCCTTGTGGATCAGCTCTTTCTCACTGCCCGTCTACTTGACCAAGCATGATATCATTTTAAGGGATGGATATCTCCTGATAAACATGTCCCAAGTGCGTAAGACTGAGCCTCTCCATCTCGTTTCTTAGGAGCATTTGGGGGGTACTTGCTCCCAAACCGACTTCTCTGTTCTTTTGGCAGTCCACAGTACTTTGGGTACTTTTCATCCACTTCATAATTCCAGTCTGTTAGTTCTTCTGCAGTCTTCCTTATCCAGGGTTCACCTGTAGTGGAGGCAATTGAAAACACCATGGCTTGGTTGAAGTGCACCTTAGTCTTCCGAGTAACATCCTCACTCTTCAACACTCTGGAGGTCTCGTGCAGCAGATTTGCCTAATGCAGTATGTCTTTTGACTTTTTGATTTTTGATTCTATGGACATTGATTATAGATCCAAGTAAAATGAAATCTTTCCCAACTTCACTCTTTCTCTGTTTATCATTGAGCCAATTGTAAAGATTTTGTTTTTAATGTTGTGGCATAATCCACATTGAATACTACTCTAGTCTTATAACTTGATCAGCAAATGCTTCAAGTCCTTCTTCCTCTCATCAAGCAAAGTTGTGTCCTTTGCATATCGCAAGTTATTAAATGACCCTTCATCTAATCCTGATGACACACGTCTTCATGTAGTCCAGCTTCTCAGATCGAGCATACAGATTGATGCAGTATGGTGAAAGGGTATAACCCTGACACGCCTCTCCGGAATTTAAACCCAGCAATAGCCCCCCTGTTCTGTTTGAACTATTGCTTCTTGGCTTAAGCACAGGTTCTACAGGAGTGCAATGAAGTGTTCTAAAATTCTCAGGCTTCAGTGTTACCCATGGTTTCGTATGACAGACACACAGTTGAATGCCTTTTCATCACTAGTAAAACACAAGTAAACATCATTCTGGAAATATCTGCTTTCAGGTAAGATCTATCTGATGTTAGCAGCACGGTCTCTCATTCCATGTCTTCTCTTGAATCTGGCTTGAATTTATGTGCACTCCCTGTTAATGTACTGCTGCAACCATTTTTTAATTACCTTCAGTAAAATTTTACTTACATGTAATATTAGTGATATTGTTTGATTAACTTCCGTATTCTGTTGGTTCACCTTTCTTTGGAATGGGCACAAATATGGATATTTTCCTGTTAGTTGGCTAAGTAGCCATCTTCTACATTTCATGACACAAACTAGTGAGTGCTTCCAGTGCTGCGTCCACTTGTCGAAACACGGCGCTTGGTAGTCCATCAGTTCTGATGGCGTGCTTTTCACTAACGCCTCCGTGCAGCTCAGCCTTTCCCTCTACTGCCATTGGTCCTTGATCACGTTACCTCTTATAATGGGGAACTGTCAGGGATTTCTTGGCACAATGGCTCTGTGTATTCCTTTCATCTTTTCGTGATTTCTGTGCCATGTAATATTTTGCCCATAGAATCCTTCAATATTTTTTTAATCATTTTATTAGGGGCTCATACAACTCTTATCACAATCCATACACACATCAATTGTGTAAAGCACATTTGTACATTCATTGCCCTTATCATTCTCAAAACATTTGCTCTCTACTTAAGCCCCTGGCATCAAGTTCTCATTTTTCCCCTCCTTCCTCCTCACTCCCCCCTCCCTCATGAGCCCTTGATAATTTATAAATTATTATTTTTTCATACCTTGCCCTGTTCGACGTCTCCCTTCACCCACTTTTCTGTTGTCCGTCCCCCAGGGAGGAGGTCACATGTAGATCTTTGTAATCAGTTCCCCCTTTCCAACCCACTCTCCCTCTATACTCCCAACTCCCAGTATCACCACTCACACCACTGGTCCTGAAGGGATCATCCGCCTGGATTCCCTGTGTTTCCAGTTCCTATCTGTACCGGTGTACATCCTCCAGTTTGCCCAACTTGCAAGGTAGAATTCGGATCATGATTGTGGGGGGTGAAGCATTTAGGAATTTTAGGAACTAGAGGAAAGTTGCTTATTTCATGGTTGCTACATCGCACCCTGACTGGCTCGTCTCCTCCCCAAGACCCCTTCAATATTTTAACTCAAGGCTTGAATTTTTTCTTTATTTTTTTTCACCTTGAGATACATATATCATGTTCATTGTAACTTGTAAAGCTAAATACTACTTCCTATAAACAAACAAACAAACAAACAAAAAACTGCCATTGAGTTGATTCTGACTCATAGTGACCCTATATAGGACAGGGTAGAACTGCCCCTTTGGGTTTCCAAGACAGTAACTCTTTACTTAGGTGGACAGCTTCATCTTCTCCAGCAGAATGGCTGGTAGGTTTGAATGGCCATGTCTGCAGTTCATAGCCCACATTTAACCCACTCTACCACCAGGATAAGGCAGTCCTTATCTTTTCACATCATTGATAGCAGGCATTCCGGTTTTCATTCCCTATAAAATATAAGTTCGTTTAACCTTGGGCTGTGTTATGTCAGAATCACTACCAAAAAAGTAAAGATTTTTCTAAATTTTAAGAGAGATTTTAGTCCTGTAAAAATTTACAATCTTTGGAGCCCTGGTGTGGTGGGTTATGGATTGGGTTGCTATTCACAAGGTCAGCAGTTGAAAACCACCAGTCGCTCCATTGGAGAAATAGGAGGTTTTTTACTCCTGTAGTGTTACAGACTCAGAAACCCATTGAGGATGCTCTACTCTGCCCTATCGAGTCATTATGAGTTGGAATCGAGTCCGTGGCAGTAAGTTTGGTTTTTTTTCGGTTGGCATGAGGACCCCTGGTGACTCTGCTAGTTGTTTGAGCCCATCGGCCACTGCACTGGAGAAATGTGGCCACCTGCTGCCATAGAGATTTGCAGCCTTGGGAGGCCTTTTGGGGGAAGGTCTATTTTGTCCTGTCGGGTTGCAGTGAATCAGATTTGACTTGATACAACAGGTTTTTGGTGTTTAAAATCAATTATTCAAGTCTTTGGTTCATCCATTTAAGCCAGAGGTAGAAAAGTTCATCAAGCAAACCTACCAGTCTGTGGCAAAAATCTGGGTGCCTCCCCTTACTGCCAGCTTGGTAACATAGACTCTACTCAATAGTTAGTGAATGCTTTTCGTTAACAAGGGCATAATCAGAGGACAAAACCTTTTTTAAAAAAATCATTTTATTGGGGGCTGATACAGCTCTTATCACAATACGTACATACGTACGTTGTGTCAAGTACATTTGTACATTTGTTGCCCTCATCATTTCCAAAACATTTTCCTTCTACTTAAGCCCTTAGTATCAGCTCAGTTCCTCTCGCCTCCCTCACACACCCTTGATAATTTATAAATTATTAGTTTTTTCATGTCTTAGCTTACACTGACTGCTGTCTTCCTTCACCCACTTTTCTGTTACTCATCCCCCCAACTTTCCCTTACCCTCCTAGTATCGCTACTCTCATTATTGGTCCTAAGGAGTTTTATCTGTCCTGGATTTCCTGTGTTTCCAGCTCTTATCTGTACCCGTGTACATACTCTGGTCTAGCTGGATTTGTAAGGTAGAATTGGGGTCATGATAGTACAGGGTGGGGGGGGGAGCAGACATTAAAGAACTAATGAAAGTTGTATGTTTCGATGATGCTATATTCTACCCTGACTGGCTTGTCTTCCTTGTGACCCTACTGTGAGGGGATGTACAATTGTCTACAGATGGGCTTTGGGGCCATCTTCATTTTCAAAACATTTTCTTTCTATTTGAGTCCTTGGTATCAACTCTCTTTTTTTCTCCCCTTCTCCCAAACCTGTCTTAACAACTGAGCTGTACATGTTCTAAGGACTGTTTGTTGTTAAATGAAAAATAGAATTAGATATTTTACTATAACTTCATGTAACATTTTTAGTTTATGAGATATAATATTGAATATACCAACTATAATACCTTGATACACATGGGCTTATATTCTTTGGCACATCATATGCATGTATGTGCTCAGTTGCAAATGAGTTCGCTTTTATTGAGCTTATTATAAAACAATTAGAAAATACAAATATACCAAAATCTTATGTTTAGAAAGATTATTCTTTCTAAAATAATATCAAAGATTTCCAAAAATCGTTTTTCCCTTAAAGTTAACTTAGAGAGAAGTTAAATATAAAATGTCTAAAAGAAAACACCAGACATAACTAGCTTGTATTGTGTTGACATGGTGTGTACAAATGGAGTCTTTTCTATAAACGATGCCATAGCATATTGTGAATTTGTAATCTACCAGCTGTAAGACACAGAAAATATTGACCCATCTAGTGTTATTGTTCTTAAACCAGTGTGAATTGCTGTTAAGACCTTGGTAAAAACTGAGAAAGCACACACTTACTCTGAAGTTATGCTCTGCCCGACGCCAGTCTGCTGTGAATCCATCTCTGCCGTTTGGGGTCTGTCAGAGGTGGGGCAGGAGGAAGAGCGACTGTGTCACCAGACCGCTGGGGATGTCCGGTCACTCATTAATAATTGTTGAGTGCTAACACGGTGTGCAAGTTACAAGTGTGTGTATACGATCATCTTTTTCTATAATTTTTTGTAATCTAGATTCGATTACGCATCCTACCTGGTACCGAACAGGAAATACTGTATAATTTCTACCCTCTGATGGCTGGCTACCAGCAGCTGCCATCTCTCAACATCGACTTGCTGAGATTCCCGAACTTCACGAATCAGCTGCTGAGGCGTTTTATACCCACCAGTATTTTTGTAAAGGTAAGGGATTAGAATGCTCTGCCTTAAGAATACAAAGTTAGAGGCCTTAAACGTAAACCCCACATAGGATACAGTTATCCCCAAACTGTATAGTCTTAAAAGCAAACAAAAGAAGATTTCTTTTATTTAAATTTCATTAATATTTTGAAAGTCACGGTGATAGTTTTAACATAGTAATTTGATAATATTGCTCTAATTTCTATAAAGTTACTATCACTTCATTAAATCTAATTTTCAAGTCTGTATTCCTTTCGATAGATAATAATTATCTTTATTGTGAGGTCCCAGGTGGTGGAAATGCTTAATGCCCCCAGTTGCTATCTTAAAGGTTGGCAGTTAAAATCCACCAAGAAGTACCTCGGAAGAAAGGTCTGGCCATCTACATTCCAAATTCAGCCATTGACAGCCCGATGGAGCACAGTTGGGCACTGGCATTCGGGGTTGCCATGAGTCTACTTGGGTGAATAGATGCACATGTCCTTTTCTAACTGCTGCCATCCTCTTCTCTTCAACGCAGTGCTCGCCTTTCACGAGGAAATGGCCTGGAATCCTCAGAACCATCTCCTTTATCAGTTGGAGAAACTTAGCACTAAAATGTCTACACTAATAGAGTGGATGAAAATGACCTCTCGAATCATCCCTGATGGAAATCTATTCCCCTTGCCTTTACTAAACTTTAAAGCTGTGTTGTCCGTTGTGGCCGTCACATGTGGCTATTGGTATTAAAATTAAATGAAAATTTAAAATTAGTTTCTCAGTTACATGAACAACATTTGAAGTGCCTAGTGGCCATTTGAAGCTGGGGGCTTCTGTATTGGACAACATTGATGGGGAACATTTTCTTCACTAAACCAAGTTTTGTTGCACAGTGCTGCCCCCTGGACAACCTTTGGTTGATGAAATAATTCAGTTGCCTAACTATGCGATCGTCTGTCTCTGCTTGTAAATTCAACTTGACAAGGAATTAGCTAGGCCAGCCCATTAAGCGGATTCTAAATCTGAAGATTGCCCGTCAGTCCAAAAACAAATGACAGGAAGTATAAAAATAAAGACGGGGAACCTATTCTTCACTCATTTCACACCGCCCTGATTGTCAGAGACGTGTGTACATGCTTATGTCCACTTACATGGGTGCATGCAATCATAGGGACACATGCAGCCGCAGCAGCAGCAGAATGGAAAGGATTTGAGTGCACCTTTCACTTCTTCAGAGAGTTCTCTAGAAATTACTCTGCTGTAAGCATTTAAAAAACCCACAACCATTTTGATTCTTAGAGGCACTATGCAGTATTTCCTAATCTGTAAGTCTTTTTTTATTATTATTTTTTTAATATCTAACCTCTTTTACTGGTAGAACTTCAGTGGGCTGTCAAGATTCTGTTTTTTTCTTTTTAAGATAGTTTTGTTGACTTGATGGTTCGCATGCCAGCCTCTTCCGTAGTTCCGTCGTATTAACGAGTCGTACAGTCCTCTCTGATCACTTCCGGAACATTCCCCCACGTATTCGTTATTAGCACTCGTTTCCCTCCAACACCCTCCCCCCCAAAAACAAAACAAAACTAAACTGTAAGTCTTTACAAGCGCGGACAGCCGTACGACTGGTGGGCTTGAAGCACCAGCCTTGTGGTTGGCAGCATAGCAGATGGACTTTGTCTGTGAAATGGTAACACTTCAGTTTCATTTCCTGATGATCACCTGTTTCCCAACAAGCCTCAGCTATTCCACATTTGTGTCAAATTGTTTTGGAAATTTCATTCTTTAGCTACTTGGCAACTCTAAAATGTTGCTAACATGTTGGAAAATTTTCACCAAAAGCCAATTGTGAGAATGTGACATTTCTGATAAGATATTTTTGCATTTTTTCAGTCTGTGACCTTAGAGAAAGGGCCAGTTTTTATCTGTTTTTCTCTATGTAGTATTCAAGGTTAGTTCCTATAAAGACCACTGGGGATAACACTCTATCAAAAAGTAAATTGGGAGACCTTGCATCTCTATAAAGTAGTGGTTCTCAACCTTCGTAATGTCACAACCCTTTAATACAGTTCCTCATATTGTGGTGATCCCCAGCCATAAAAGTATTTTCGCTGCTACTTCATAACTGTAATTTTGCTAGTGTTATGAATCAGGCAACTGCTGTGAAAGGGTCGTTTGACCCTCAAAGAGGTCGTGACCCACAGGTTGAGAACCACTGCTATAAAGGGACCTACTTAAAAGGTGAGATGTAGTTGAGCTCAGAGCAAGAGAGAGAGAATAGGGTTTGCTACTTAAGCCCACCCACTGCCATTGAGTCCTTTTAATTCCTAGTCACCCTATAGAATAGGGTATTTGAGACTACGACAGTAGCTTCTTGATCCCAAAGAGCAGCTGGCAAGTTTGAACTGCTGGCTTTGTGGTTAGCAGCCCATTGTGTAAAACCTGCCATACCACCAGGCCTCCTCCACAGTCAACCAGGAGTGGTAAATAGACTTCATTTCACACAGAGTCAGTGTTCGATTAGGAGTAGCTGCTAGAACACGAGGCTAAGGGAAACGTGGACTGAATTGTAAAGGTCATGATCGTGACTAATGGGGGAGCGTGTGCAATCTCATACCCAGGTGGAGAGAAGGGAAAGAAGCAGTTACTGTACAGTAGCATGAATTTCCAACCCTTCCAATGAATAGGGCTCTTCTTGTCATTATCGCTTTGTAAATCCATTTTGCTTTCCCTCTTTACCAGCCACAAGGTCGGCTCGGGGATGAGAACTCGATTGCTGCTGCCTGATGTTGGAGCCTGGCCCGGCTGTGCTTCCAGTGGAGCGGATCATAGGTTTTCATTGTGAACGGTAGCTTTGATCATGATAAAAAGTCAATGTTTTCTATTTTTTAATGAATATTATGCCAACAATTCAGAGGAACTCATGCTTAAAATCTATACTCTTATATTTTCACTAATAAATATTTGGAATCTGTCAGTGCTACAACAAGATGATCAGTCCATTGTTATTATTGAAAGTAATGCCATGACTAGTCAGTTTTTAAAAGTCAGTGGTTTGCATGTTTGATAACAAAGGTAAAAATCAAGCGTCCTCAGATGACTGAACAAGGAGAAGGAAAATGCACCAAAGTTGCCCAATAAAATGCTGGGCCCCCTGTGAGCCTCTGTTCAGTTAGCTAAATGAAGTAAATCCATCCTCACAGATGGAAAGTGTGCTCAGAAGACACACAGAATGTTTCATGAACAGTTGTGTAACTGGTAGGGAAAACTTCCAGAAAATTTTGAGCAAAGCAATTTAAGGAAGTTGTCTAAGCACAACTTACCACCAAAATATGTCATTAGGTTCAACTTGTCGCCAAAATAGAAACCATTAAGGAACAGGTTCAAGCATGTGTTAATAAAATCTTACTTTGAAAAAGAAGGCTCTGATGATGAGAAGAATTTCTAAAAAGAATTTGAAAAAGATAAAAGATGTTAAAACTTAAATTCCTAATTCATGCAAATAAGTCATTTTGAATTTTTTCTTTGTTAAAATACCTTAACTTAAAAGAACCTGGAACTAATTATTATTTAAAGGACAGGCATTGTAAAAAGGAAATAAGTGATGTGAATAAATATGGTCTCTTTCATATTTTCTTGCATATATCTATTGTGCCTTTTTAAATGCTAATTTCATGAAACTGCTTCTGAGAGCTATCATTGCATGGAGTAATGGATAATGGAGGCCATTCCATTCCCACCCTGGAAGTCAGAAACCTGTGCTTACATGTGCACATGTATACGTAGCTTGTACACACATACTACAGCAACAATAAGACTGAAAGCAGCTCTGCTCCCCCCCCCCCCCACACACACACCTCCGGGGGTCACTGGACACTGGAATGACTGTCTTGGGAAGAAGTGAGTTCCCTGTGACCCCAGCTGTTGAAGTGATGCCTCAGAAGTTTGACTCGAGTCAGACCATTGGACCGAATCCCGCCTCGGCTGCGTAGTAGCTCAGTGACTCTTTCAGGTTACTTACCCTCTGTAGATCTCAGTTTTTTTCTCTGTACGATGTAGGTGATAGTAAATACCTATCTCACAGACTCATCAGGAGAATTATGTAAATTAACACGTGAGAAGACTCAGAAGCACTGCCTATCCAATGTCAGTGCTCATCCAGTGTCATCTATTTGTTGTTTCTTGTGAGGAGGGTACGCAAGCACTTACTGGAAGGGAGGGCTCTGTGTTTGCCATGTGCCTCTCATGTTACATACCTGTGTCACATGTTACTAGATGCCATCGAGTGGGATCCTACTCGTAGTGACTTCATCCACAAAAGAACAAGACGCTGCCTGGTCCTGGCCATCCTCACACTTGTTCTCGGGCCTGTTGTTGCAGCCACGGTGTCATTCCGTCTCCTGCGGCCCTGCTGCTTTATGAAACATGGTACCCTTCTCTCGGGACTGGGTGCTCCTGACAAGATGTTTAAATCTTTGTAAGAAGTCTCACCATCCTTGCCTCTTAAGGAGAACTCTGGCAGTACTTCAAGACAGGTTTGTTTGTCCTTTTAGCAGTCTGCGGTACTTTCAAGATTGCTCCTGCACCAGTTCAAATACATGGAGTCTTCTTTGGACTTCTTTAGCCAACGTTGAGCTTTCGCACACATATGAAGCAGTTGAAAATACCATAGCTTAGGGTGGGTGCACCTTAGATGTCAAAGTCACGTTCTTGCTTTACAATACTCTCAAGAGGTCTTGGGAGCCCTGGTGGTATAGTAGTTATGAATTGAGCTTCCACTCATATGGTTGGCAGTTCTAAACCACCAGCAGCTCCACTGGAGAAAGAATGGGCTCTGTACTCCACTAAACAGTGTTGGAAACCCCCAGGGGGTTGCTATGAGTCCGCTTTGACTTGGCAGTGAGTTTGGTTTGTGTTTAAAGAGGTCTTGGGCAGAAGATTTACCCAGTGCAACATGTCTTGTGATCTCAACTGCTGAGTCTGTAAGCATTGATGGTGGATCCAAGCAAGACAATATCCCTGACAACTTCAACCTTTCTCCACTTACCGTGATGTTACCTATTGGCCAGTTGTGAGGATTTTGGTCTCCTTTAAAAGAGCCCAACGTGCTTGTAAATAGCCTTCTGAAACTTGTCATTTTGACCTTTCATTGCTTTTGACTTGGCCCCAACTTTTAGTGACCCTATGCCCAAGAGAACAGAACATTGGTAGGTTCTATAACATCCCTACGAACAACGAAATGCATAGGGTGTTCATTGGCTGATTTTTGGAAGTAGATCTCCAGGTCTTCTAGTCCAGCTTAGTCTGGAAGCTGTGCTCCAACACTCAACATCATACCATCATGAAAACCACTGCTGACATAACATGGTGGCTGCACATGAGGCTTTCCAAAAAACCAAACAAACCCACTGCCAGCACGTTGATGTCGACTCACAGTGACCCTATAGAACAGGGTAGAACTTCCCCGCTGGGTTTCTGAGACTGTTTATAGCAGTAGAAAGCTCCATCTTTCTCCCTCAGAGTAGCTGGTGGTTTTGAACTGCTGACTTTGCAGTTAGCAGCCCAGTGTGTAAACACTACAACACCAGACCTCCTACATGAGACCTTAGAGCGTGAGAAGAGACAACCAAAGTGTGTTGTTTAATAGTGGCTGCGTGCTGTCAATCTCTACAGATCGCGGCCTGCTGTCAGGAAACTCCCCGTGGGTTTCCAAGGTGGGACTCTTGCCAGGAGCAGGTGACCAAGTCTTTCCCCCTCCTAGCCGCGGGTGTGTGCAAACCTTTCGGTTCTGTGCCATAAGCACCCAGCAATTGCACCACCTTTGTGTAATGGTAGTGATGATGGATTTCAAGAAGCAGTCACGTGCAATATTCGTGATTAGAATAAATACCTGACATGAAATAGCACTTTATCCTCTCCCCCTTTTTGTTTTTAATGCCTTGTGAATTCAGCCTACAGCCCACAGAACTAAATCCTTTGGATAAATTAGCCTTATGAAGTAATGCTAAAGAAAAAGAAAAGGTTCATGTGCATTGATCTTTCGCAGAACAAATTGACATCCTGTTTTCTCGTTCCAATGATCTCTCTTAAATGCCCTTTTTAGCGTTTGCAGGTAAGTATATGATTGTTTTGTTTGAAAATATTTCTCATGGGCAATGCTCATGCCATTCTTTGGTGAGTTTCACAACCACCACCTCTTTGTTTGAGCCGAGAATGCCATTCTGTTCCAGTGTGTTCAAGAACACCATAATGTGCTCAAGTGAGTGCAAAAGCTCTCATTTTCATGAAAGAAGAAATTCATAGTTTAATTATACGCAGTTCTCTTCAAAGACTAAAACTCGCCTTTCTACTCAACTTACAGCCAAGGCCAACAGAGAGCGTGATCACAAGGCCTGATTGTTTCTGCTTTCTGAAGCATGTTTTACCAGAGGAGAATTAAAACCGAAGTCCGGTTTTAAGCACGCCTGCATGCCAGGGTCTACATACCAGGCGAATCACACCCGAGCGTGTTCTGAGTTCTTATTTTCCTTCAGTCATTCAAAGGAGAAACAAAAGACCATCACAACCTGGAAGTTGATTTTTCACAAGTTTATCTGAAATCTCTAAGCACAGAAATAAAATGTATTAATGCACGTGGCAAATGGAAACTGGCAAAGATGATCCTTGTTGGGTTAGTCAAAATCTCTAAGTGATGCATCTTTCCCAGAGATAACGACTAACGCGTATTGCACGCTATGAGTTGAACTCGACTCGATGGCGATGAGTTTGTTTTTTGAGTGATTATGTACCAGGTGCTGCTAAGCTCTTGTCAAATTTAATCCTCATACAAGGGTTACATCTTGTCAGCCTGTTCTCAGCCCCACTTTAAATATGTGGGATCTGGCTATCGAGGGCTGCAAAGCAAAGCAGCCAACCAATACTTAGGAGCTGGACGCCGCAGCCACCTGAGATCTTCCTAGTTCCACTTGGTGGTGAATTCGTCAGTCCTCTGGGCACTTCTGACTGGGACATGGATGTCATTGCAGTCAGAGTCGCTGGAGTTGGCATAGGGGTGCTCTTTAGGACTTGGAGAGTTAAGCAGTGGGCTCGCCAGGCATGGCCCCTCATTTCCAGTGTTTGCGTGATCTTTGTTGCTGCCTCACCGCGTGGCAGTCAGGTCGTCCGGCTGCTCTGAGGCAGTGCTGGCTTCCCGTGTGTACTCCAGCCAGGAAGGTGAAAGTTGGCTTTCCTTGTGTGACCTTGCTGGGATAGTGCATGATGCCACTTGTGCTAAGGCCACAAACCCACCCCGATTCTGGAGGAGGGACCAGAACTCCGCTTCCTGCTGGGGAAATCGTGACATCCCAGAAGGGCCTGTGGCAAGGGAGATACTGTTACAGCAGCCAGCTTGGGGAACGCAATCTGCTAAGCCCAGTGACCTAACCGGCAAGTGATTGGAGGAGCTGGGATGCCGATGAAGGCACTCAACCCACAGGCCCAGCATCCTCCAACTCCTCTCCCACCCTCCTCCCTGGGCAGCTCCTGTGAACGAGGGCATGTCTGGGATTTGCTTGACAATAACCCAGAAGACAAAAGCCAGAGTCAAACACTGGGTGGCAGAGAGATGGATAAAACAAGATTTTCAAAATGTGGTTAAAGATAAGCCGTGGGTACTGGGTGGTGGGCACCCATTCTCTCCCTCTACTTTGGGGCATCTTTGAGAATTTCCATTTCGGCTAGAGAGGAGCCAGGGGAGGTGATGAACTTGACAGAGTGTGAGTGGGGGAGCCACACCTTAGATGGCTTTGTTTTCGTGTGTGTAACATCTTTTGGATGCAGGTTTATCATCCTTGGGCAGATACTGGTATGTGAGGACAAACGCAAAATAAACACATCAAGGAAGCGCTTTTCCAGATAATGAGGGTGTGCTGGCATCCCCTCCCGCGAGCACTCTGCCAGCCCAGCGCTTTTAGCACAGGCTGGCTTGTTGAGCAAAGCTCAGTGCTCCCTCCCCTTCAGTGTATACTCAGTGATAGAGGTTCAGCGGGGAAACAGACACGCACAAAATGGGAAGAGGGCTTATCGAAATCCTCTCCACTGCTTCTCGGAGAAGGGCTTTTTCTATTGGAATTCGGGGGCTTGGGGAGAAGCTTGTTTTCTTTTTAGCGCTACAATGCTTGAAAAAAATGATCGTTTAGAGAATGATCATTCAAAAACCATTTGCCTCAACACTTACTTTTGGAATCCCAAATGTTTCCCAAAACAGGAAACACAGCTGCAAGTCCTGTATTCCAGAGAAATGCTGACTTGCCTCAACTCAAGACGGGAAAAGCTCCATGAAAACCCGCCTCTGTGAGCAGATGTGACCACCAGCTGGCTAGGCTGCATTTACGACATTTGCTCGGCTTCTAATGGACATCTTATATTTTATTGTGAAAATTTCCCAACTTCACGTAACAGTGTGAGTTGCCAGCAAATTGCCAGGCCCACAGGCAATTCAGCGGGAATAACCTGTAGCGTTGCTCCGTCTCCCCTGTGCTCGGACATTATTTCACCCAGAGAAGACAGGACGGCTCAGCCTCACCCAGTGCTTGGTCGCACCCAGTGGAGCATCCTCCCTACACGTCTTTTGACAGTTCATGTGCTTGAATC